AAGGATGCTAGTGCCTATGACTTGACACCACTGGATAAGCTCCACTCTTCTATCCCCCCGTCGTGGCAATCCTGTGGCAGATATTTTTGGAAGAGACGTACTTGGTTATGAAGTGAGCAGACTGAAACCATCTGTCTCTGCAGTTCAGACATTCAACTTCAAGATATGTTTTATGATGATCCTGAGGAGATTATTTCTCTGGCGTACAATGTTCCTATAAAATACATAGGAGTATTAGGCAAGGATAAGCAAACAGCAGAAGTGAGTAGAAAGTAATAAAATAGCTACAATAGTAGTTACATTTCAATTAAAGCACTTTTTAGTATTGTTTGTGAACACATCTTTTGAATTTTTTAATGGAAGAAAAGCTGGTAGTCAGATCTTGTGGGAGAGTTCTGGCCGTGCGATCGAAGAGCTACTGAGCTACTCTACTTGCCCGGGCTTATTATTGAAGTTAATAGTTTTACAACTAGCTCCAGTCTCCTCATCGATCATGAATCCATCACCGTCGGAATAGTAAGTGAACCTAGCTGAAACCAAGAATCATCACGACACAGAGAATCCACACGGACACTCTTTGCGCGATATTCAGACATTCCGGCCATCTGCTGCCCGGGTGACACTCGCCAAAAGCTTGCACCTTTGTTTGCTCGATCCGTCCACAAGGTAGTACATTAAGGTGATTTGGCCCCTAATGCTGTCGAAAGTGACACCCTTTTTTGCAGGAAGAGATTCTTTTCTGAGGTTAAGTTTCTGTTATATTCCTCAAGCACGAGGCACTGTGTGCTGTTAACCACAATAGCACACATCGACGTGTCCCTCGAGCAAAGGCGGATCTGCGGGGCGCGACCGATGAACAAGGGCGCATCTGTTTCGGTGCCGCCGAAGAAGGGCGCATCTGCTTTTGGCGAGACTCGCTAGGGGGATTTTTAAATGTTTCCCGTTTAACGTAGAGAAGTAATACAGCAGCAAAACTTACGGTACATACTAATGAAGAATCAAGGATTAATATGAGCTAACGTCTAAATATATAGGACAAACCTCTGAGGTGTGAGGAGCGTCCAAAGTTCACCTACGCGAATCTCACGGAAAACAGATGCGTCCTTCTTCGGCGGCACCGAAACAGATGCGCCCTTGTTCATCGGTCGCGCGCAGATCCGCCTTTGCTCCAGGGACACGTCGACATGCATTCAGTTTAAACAAAGGCTTCTATTATTGTATCTTTGTAGACCCACTTTAGGCATTAACAGTAAGGAACAACAGTTGCCTTTATGATTAATGCTCAAAACTATCCAACTGTATTCTTCCTCTTGCCCCAAGTAATTTTTTTTACTCCTATCCGTCGTGAGAGGAGAGAAGATTTGGGTCGTGGATTGAGTAGATTTAGGCTGTCACTCCACAAGAAACAGATACTCTACTCTTAATTAGGTGATCTGATTGTCACAGGCATTACAATCACTTTATTAAAAACATTGCACAGAATCGTTATTTTACATGTCATTAACATATGGTTTTCTCTCTACAGTTAGTGGTTGATCATCATAGCATTCATCCAGCTCCTAGGCAGCATAACTTTTATGCCAGTTTGTGTGTACGCACCTAGCTTTATACTCGACAATTGGATAGACATCAAGTGGTTTGGGCTGATATGTTCGTGCGGTAGGTACGCCTCTATTTCCAACACATCTTACATAAAATGCTTGATTTATTGCAACCTTTCTTATTTTTTGCAGCATACCAAGTGTGGTATACATGCCCCTGGCGGGTTATTGGCACCTAACTTATTTCTAATTCAAGTTAAGAGCTATGTTTGTTCACAATCAGTATTAAGGCTCTTCTTTTATAATGTCATGTCAATTTAAACTCAGGTACAAAGATTAGAACACCAACAAGAAGTTAAAGATTATTGTAATTATGTAATAAGCAGTCTATTAATCATGCTAATTATGCATTGAATGTAACTGCTTCTCCATTATTGCTACTGCAAATGCCACCATATAATCACTACTGCACTTATCGTACCCGTTGAATTAATTGAATAACCATGTCTAAACGTGAATGGAAAGAGGATTATATATAATCCTCTTTCCATTCACGTTTAAAGGTTACTGCTATACATTTTTGACTGAGCGATTAGCGAATGAGTATTGAACTTAGGTTAACCACTAAGGCTACATTGTACATTGTTGATACTGAATGAAACGATCATTTAGTCCGTTGAAAAAATGTATGGCAGGTGTTTCTTCAGCACAGTCGCCTAGCACAGCAGAGTTAGATAGCACAACAGCGACCACCTGCTAGAAATGAAAACATTAATGTGTTGTGAGAGGTGCTGGTACACTTTAATATGCAGCAGTTATATCTAGCTTCATACCTCGCGGCCCCAGCCCCAGCAGAGCGCCTGCAAATGTTTCAGAGGCAAAGATAAACTGCACCAGCCATGTCAATAACATAGGTTATAAGCGATCTGTGATTACTGATTGAATGGAGGGGACGCCTGAAAATGCCGCCCCACCCAGCTCAAACTCAATCCTCGTAAAAAATGGCGGGATTCTGATGAAATTACTCACATCTGTCCGAAATCCATCACTTTTTTGACGGATGAGCTCCCCATTGCTGCCTGAACTGCCGGTGTCGTCTGCTTGACTTGACAGCCGGAGCGGAGAGACGGAGTAGGAGGACTGCTGTGACAGGAGCACTAGTACCAACGCGACCGCGTCCCGCGTCAAACTATCAAAATTCTACTTCATTCCGACTTAGACGTCGACTGGTAGAGAGCAGACAACCAAGGCCTAAACGAATGGCGTTTTGTAGGATATTTTTTTGTTCCTGGCTTACAACATCTGCCCTGTCCAGATGAAATAATTTGCGTATTGGTCGCAGTGTAAATAGGAGAACAAAAGTTTGTTTTGTCGAGCAGGCGGAAAGGTCGTCTGCTACCCCAAACAACAACAAAAAACTCAAGACTGCGTCATATTGTAAGGTTCTGGACTGAAAGAAGTAAACGATGTAATGCTGAGAACCAAGGGATTTATTGAGGAACTCGGTACAGGTGTAGTCAGGCTCGAGGTCGGGACAAGACTGAGCCAGCGCGTGGCTTGACTGTTAGGCGTTACTAAGGACAACACTGCGAAGGACTTGTGCGAGGCTAGGCTGACTCGAGGCGGCCAGTCATGAGAATGACAGCAGTACTTGAACTACTGGTTTAGTGCCTATAATACTACAACTACACCTCCTTCTCCTTGAAGAGGTCACAAACCACCCAAAAACTAAGACAAGGCATTCGCAGTTTAGAAATTTAATGTCTAAATTTGGGAACTTGGATCTCAGTGATGATTCACCCCATTTGGCAAAGGATCAGGGAAAACCTTCTTTAATGGGATAAAACCCTGAACAGTGATCATCAGCTCATGCCGCTTGAGATGGCTCCACTGGGGCGACACTGGGGAAACGGACACCTCCTTCTTCAGGGCCGGACTTCCCTTGTAGAAGTGCCACCACCAGGGCGACAGCACACAGGAGACGGACACCTCCTTCTTCAGGGCCGGGACCTCCCTCTTGAAGTGCTACACGCCTCCGATGTTGGTGGAGCTGGCTAGGCCCATGGCAGGGCGGAGAGCAGGACAGGAACGGGACTGGACCAGGACAGGAACGGGACTTGACCAGGACAGGACAGGACCGGGACGGGAGCGGGGACTGGAACAGTAATCATACTCGGACAGGAAAGTGCAACACAAGAAGGGATGCTGCAAAAGAGAGGTTAGGGTGGTCCGGCGAGCAGTTTACCACAAGTAGAAAACTGCACGAGTCCACGTCTGACACTGGGCGAATCAGTGGGACTGGGGGCTACTGAAACTAGACTGTAAAAGTACTATTAACTTGTAAAAGACGTTTCAAACGAAAACGACACTTGCCTAAATTATTTGAGGGTCAGGATGCTGGGTCAGGACCAGGATGCTGCAGGCAGGGAAGGGGGCGTCGGGGCGTCGTCTGCTCTCAGGAACGGTTGAAGTTCTCCAGGTTTGCCAACCATCCAGTCGGGGCGGGGCCGCGATCAGCTGATGAGTCAGCTGACTTGTTTTGAACTTGCACGCTCTCTCTCTCTCTCTCCCGTGCGACTCGGAAAAGGAGGGATGCAAGGACAAAACAAGTGACTGGGGAGACAGACTTTATTTGTTCAGCCAAACCGCCACTGGGGTGTGGGGAGAGGCGGGTAGCCCGTCATGGGCAGTTGCATGCAGGGCATCTGCATTGGCTGCATTGGCTGCATCGGCATGGGCATCTGGGGCATCTGGGGCACGTATCCCGGGACCAACTGGGGAACCCAGGCCTGGGACGCCGATGGAGCCGCGGCCAGCCTCTGGCGCAAGTCTCGGACCTCCGTCTCGAGACGCGTAGCCCTCTCGGACGCGTGGCGCGCAGAGGCCAGCGCGCTGGTCAGCTGCACTTTCAGCTGCTCGTAGGTGGGCTGCTGCTTAGGCTGCTTGCCTTGCGGCTTCCCACGAGGCTGCTGAGGCGGCTTCCTCTGGGGAGGCTGCTGCTGCTGCGGCTGCGGCCTCTTGCCCTTGGGGGCTGTCGGCGGCTTGCCTTGGGGGGCTGCAAGCGGCTTGCGCTGCTTGCGCCGGCGCTTGGGCCCTGCAGCAGGTGGCACCTGCATCTGCCGCTTGGCAGAGGACGGCCCAGCTACGGCCACAGCAGGTGCGGCAGCGGCCGCGGGTGCGGGCGGCTGAGGGGGCACCTGGTCACGGGGCGTGTCAGACAGCAGGATGTGGACATTGGGGGAGATGCCCTCCATAACCTCATCTGCCGCGATATCCAGCGCGTCCAGATCGGACGCGAGGGAGTCACGCCTGTCGCGCGACGGCCGGGTAGGGGAGAGCGAAGAATCTCTCGACCCTTCCTGGACTCGTGCCACTGGGAACAGGGAGAGGTCAGGGGTCACGGTAAAAAGGACAGCCACTGACCATTTTGGTCCACCATGTTCGACCCAATGGCAGCCAGCCGGTCAACGTGTACGATGAGACGTTTCAGCGGCTTTGCCTTTGTGGGCACAGAGTCGGCTGGGCGGACCTCCTC